ATTCCACATCCAAGAATGGGAATGTCATTGGGTGCAAAGGAAAGTTCTAAGAAAACATCTCCATGTTTTTCACGTAATTGATCAAGGTTTGTGAATACATTCTGCCCACTTCAAAGCCCTAGATTCCCAAGGATTGTGTTCAAATCATATTGTGCACGGTTGATACATAGATTGGGTTTTGATTTTTCCAAGGGTTGTGATGCCAGGAAGAGAGCTCACTCTCAAGCTATTCCTTTGTATATTTGTGTTGCTGGTTTGGCTTCAGAAAGAAATGGGAAGTGGTTTATTTTTTAAATAAAAAATAAAAGAAGAAATTGAATAATGAAATTATCATCTATGTTTAAAGAATATGGTGATTGGCATTAGAAGAATGTATTGGAATATTGAATAATTAAATAATGAAGGATTATAATTTAATACAAGTATGTATATTAACATTAGAGATACGATTACAGTTATTATTTTTGTCTGTATCAAAATGTTGATGCTTACACTGTTTATGCATTGATGTGTAGTACATGTAGAATAAAATAAAAAAAACTTGATTTAAAAAAAAAGAAAGAAAGAAATGGGAAGTGGGGGAGGGGCTGGTCTTTTCCATCCCACTAGACTGGAAGGGTGGTTTCAAGGCAGAGAAAATAAAGGCTACTGGAGTATGAATTCTGCACTGGGAACATGGTACGGTAGACCAGGGGTCTCCAACCTTGGCAACTTTAAGACTTTTGGACTTCAACTCCCAGAATTCTGGGAGTTGAAGTCCACAAGTCTTAAAGTTGCCAAGGTTGGAGACCTCTGCGGTAGACTGATTGGATGGAATGACCATACAGGTAGTCCTTGAGTTACAATCATAGCTGAGACAGCGATTTTCTTTGGCATAAGCCATTGCAGTCGTAAAATCAATCAGAACTGATTTTATGGCACTTTTTATTATGTTCATTAAGTGAATCAGCGCAAAGGGTGTTTTTTGTTTTGGGAATCAGAAAACTAGGTCCCAAATCATGATCACCTGACCACAGGATGCTGTGACCAGTCAGTCATAAATGTGAGCCGGTTGCCAAGCACTTGAATTGTTGATCACGTGACCCTGGGGCGATGGGTGTTCTGACAGTCTTAAGTGCAAGTACAGGTCATAAGCCGCTTTTTCCAGAACTGCTGTAACTTTGAACCATTGTTAAACATCAGAAAGCTTGCAAAATTAAAAGCAATAAAATCATTCGATTAAAAAACAAGGCAGGAAAGGGGTATTTACAACTGGCATCTGAGGTTAAGGAATGGAATAGAATAGAATCAGCTTCCCACTATGCAGGGTGAGACCCCTACCTCCAGCCAGCTTTTTGGCCTTGCGTGCAATAGCTGAGGCCAGCTGCAGCCCTCTGTCAAGCTCCCCTGTCACAGGAGGCCTACCATTCATTTTTCACTATCAGAAATATTAGAGAGGGGAAGGAGTCCTGGAGTCTCACTAAAGCTTCCAGCAGGACCAGCATCTAGGGGGAAGGATGAACTGGGAAGGACTTCCAAAGGAGCAGCCTCTGCCAGGGGGCCCAAAACTAAGAGGCGCCAACCTCCCGGGGGGGGGGGGGGCACTCATACCGCCATGTTCTGTCCTAAGGGGAGACATCTCGGAGGAAGGTAGCGATGGGTGAGATCACCCAGATTGCTTTCACATTTTTGCCAAGGGAAGGGGAGGGAGAGGGAAGGAAGAAGCCATTAGACATCTCGTGCTATTTCTGGTACTTTTAAGGGTTGTGGAGAAAATCTGATATCTGAGAGACCACTTATCTCCAACTGGTGCCATCCGCCCGGGACATTCCAGCAGGATGAATGTACTCCAAGTCCCTTCCATTGAACATTATCATCTGGTGTTGACTAAGGAGTTGCAGCTCCCCCCCATCCTCTGGAACAGCATCCCCCTAGAGATAAAGAGGACACCCTTTCTTAGAATAGGATAGGATAGGATAGGATAGGATAGAATAGAATAGAATAGAATAGAATAGAATAGAATAGAATAATTGGAAGGGACCTTGGAGGTCTTCTAGTCCAACCCCCTGCCTAGGCAGGAACCCCTACACCACTTCAGACAAATGGTCATCCAACATCTTTTTAAAAACTTCCAGTGTTGGAGCATTCACAAGTTCTGGAGGCAAGTTGTTTCATTGATTAATTGTTCAAACCAGTGGTGGGATTCAAAATTTCTTACTACCGGATCTGTGGCTTGGTGGGCGTGGCAGGGGAAGGCTACTGTAAAATCTCCAATCAGAGGTGGTATTTACTGGTTCCCCAAACTACTCAAAATTTCCTCTACCAGTTCTCTAGAACTGGTCAGAACCTGCTGAATACCACCTCTGGTTCTAACTGTCAGGACTGTCACACCCTGGAGGGCCAAAAGGCCTTGAAAATCTGGCTTTGGTCCTAGGTTGATGTTTTTGTGCCATGGACCTTGTTTTGTTTGGTCACTTTTGTTGTCCAATCGATTATTTAAATCTGGGTGTTCTGCGTGGTTCAATATTTTAGCTGTTTTTATGTTTTCCGTAGCTTTGTGTACAGCCCAGAGTCCACTGGATGTGCCTGTCCAAACTCCTTCAAGTAAAAAAATACTGGGTTGGGGTGGTTTGTTTGTTTGTTTGTTTATTGCATTTGGGTTTATTTACTCAATGTTGACACAGATTTTTACAAATATCCTTGACTTACAACCATAACTGGAGCCAACATTTATGTTGCTAAATGGAACAGTTGTTAAGCAAGTTTTGCCCCATTTTACAATTTTTCTAAAGTTGTTAAATGACTCACTGCAGTTGTTAAGTGAATAACGCAGCTAAGCGAATCTGCCTTCCCCATTGCCTTTGCTTGTCATAAAGTTGCAAACGCTGATCACATGACTCCAGGACATGGCAACTGTCATAAGTACATGCCAGTTGCCAAGCAAGTGAACTTTGATCACGTTACAATAGGGTTCCTGCAACGGTCATAGGTATGAAAAACAGTCATAAATAACTTTTTTCAGTGCCATGGTAACTTTGAATGATCACTAAACGAACGATTATAAGACAAGGATTACCTGTACTGACCATATGATGGTGGTCTGTACAGGATTTCTCCAGCCTTGCTTGAAGTTGATCTGATGACATCTGCTTTGCTAGTGCTCCTAACAGGATCCAAATATCTGACTTGAAGAGATCCTCTCATACTTCTTCCTCCCTCCTCTATAAACCTTAAGGGAGTAATAAGCAACTCTGAGTATTCAGAGTCATCTCTTTCTTTCAATTTCAACGTTAACATATTCATTTCGGCACTTTCTGTTACTTTTCATAATATCAGTTCTTCTTTAGGAATATTGGGAGTTTGTGCAAAGGCTCTGAATACTTCCTAATCTGAAATAAATGGCATGATTGGTTAGCAAACAGAACTAAAAAATAAGACAAGAAATTTAACTGTAAGAAGCCTTAAGAACGTAAAATGTAAATTTGTAAATTATATAAGAATATAGAAGTAACAATTATAGTTAAAGTTATTAATTAATATTAGATAAATATAAATACAATGTGTTAAGATACTTAAGATAGTTAAGATAAGAACTTGTATAGATGTCAAGAATGTTGTTGAAACTATGATGTTTTATGTTGAAACAATAGAAACTTAATAAAAACATATTTTTAAAAAATTAAAAAAGAAGCAACTCTGAGAAAAACTCCAAGATATTAACTAAGGCGGGGATCCTCGACCCTCGGTCAGGGACCAGCATTGTCCACAGCCCACCAGTGTTCTGACCCAGCTCCCCAAACATGACATACCCTCTGTAGTTGAAGCAATGAGTCCCTTATTAGGAGCGCCAGCAGCCATCGTTCACCTCAGGCTAACAAGTCTATCTTATAGGGAGATGAATAGTTGTCTGCCACATCTATTCATCTCCGCTCCTGCCTTTTATCCCCAGAGCTAGGGTGGGGCTTCGCTAGCAGAGGTGGCTCTTCCTTCCCCAGGATCAGTCCACAGATTTCCACTGCTCTCCTCTCCTCTGCTTCTGCGCATCCGTGAGTCAGGCACTGGACCCAGATGTTCCTCCTGTTCCTCATCAGCCACCTCCAGACCTGGGGGCTATTGACTCTCCATCTGAGGGCTGACGGATGGCCCAGGCTTTGCCTCTCTCTCTCTTTCTTTCTGTCAGCTCCATTCCCTCTTCCCCCTTGGAGCTCTCAGGTTGCCTTGATGCTAATCCTGACTTCCACGCCTCCTCATCATCTGATTCAGCTGCTGGAGAAGCCAGCTGCCGACAGGCCACAACAGCCAGGAACTGGGTTATGGAAATGAATGAAGCCCCATCCGTGTACAGCAGCACACAAACCACACACCCTTGGT